TATATATATTATATACTGTGTACATAAATAAAACACTGGCTGATAAAAGTCTCTGAGGAATATTTATCACCTTCTGTCCATCTGAACGAGACAAATAAAGTTTTTAATTTTATTTTGAACACGTTCAAACCTGGAGTTGTTCATGATGGGAGCGTGTCGCGGCACACTGCAGCTTGGTTCTGATTAAACCCGTTCCACAGACGGAACCCGTCACACGTGAAGACACACCCCTTTGAAGGTGTCCCTGCTCGTCTCCCCGTCCAGCAGGACTCTGAGGACATCTGGTTCTGGTTCGGCTGATTCTTGCAGCGTCTCGGGTCTCGGCAGTGACGAAGCTCTGGTAGACGTGGCGTGGTTCTGGTTTGGTTAGAACCGGGCCTGGAGCTGGAGGAGAGGACCCATCTGCTGCGGCCGCCTTGTTGACGATGACGAGCGGAGCAGCTGATGGAGGAGACGGAGAGACGGATCAGAACAGAACCACCGCCTCCAGCTGCACACATCTGTCAGCTGACACACACACACACACACACACACACACACACACACACTGCTCAGCAGCTGATCTGATTTACCTGAAACCAGTTTGTTCAGTCTGACCTGCTGAACTCAGATTGAACTCTCCGGTCCGGTCCGGTCCGGTCCTTCAACCTTTCATACATCTCAAAGCTCAACAGCTCAAAGCCTCTTCTGTCACGTGTTTATAAAACTGGACCCGGTACCAGGACCTGGACTGGGAACCAGGGCTCAAAGCGGGACAAGGACTGGATCAGGTTTTGGAGCTTTATATGAGGACTGGACTTGTGGGTCTGAGCACCGGTCCAGACAGGTTCTGGTTCTGAGGAGGAGCTGAGGGTCAGAGTTTTTCTGTTTTTCTTTGGTTTCTGTCCTGATCCTCCAGTGGGATCTGTTCCCAGCTGAACCGGTTCCATTAAAAACCAGAGACCTGTCAGGTCCCACGTGAAGCCCGACGGGTCTGAACAGGTTCTGATGTTGATGTGATGAAGATCTGCTGAGAGTGACGATGACTCAGCTTGTTCCTTCATCACCTGCAGGTCCAGGTTCTGGTTCAGATCCAGGTTTTTCTAAAACAAAACTTCTCATGGGGTTTTATCTGGTCTGCAGGTGATGAGTCCATTATAGTCCTGATGTCTTTCGTCTTCATCAGTCTCCCATGGGTTCTGTTGGTCTCCTTGTTCTGACCCGGGTCCTCAGTCCTCTGTTTCTGTTTCAGGTGTGCCGGTTCTGATGGCTCCCAGGTGGACCATGGACCAGGTGAGTCTGGTCCCACAGCGCCCCCCTTTGGACTCCTGCTGGATCCCTGACAGAACCCAGACCTGGTTTTTACATGAAACCTGCAGAACTCGAGTCCAACAGAACCAGGAACAGAGACCGAAAAAACTTAATTATTAATTTAATACAAATAATAACAGAAATGAATCAAAGTAAAACCCGAGTCTGATTCAAGAGTTCAACCAGCTTCTGATTTAACTTTATTTGTTTTTTTATTTATTACAAAACAAAAACAAAAAGACGGAAAACTTTTTGACTGAATGAATCAAGACAAAGTCTTTAAAAGCGACAAACAGGAAGTAAACATGACAACAAACAGGAAGTCAACAGGAAGTAAACATGACAACAAACAGGAAGTCAACAGGAAGTAAACATAAACAGGAAGTAAACATGACGACAAACAGGAAGTAAACATGACGACAAACAGGAAGTAAACAGGAAGTTAACATGACAACAAACAAGAAGTAAACATGATGACAAACAGGAAGTAAACATGACAACAAACAGGAAGTCAACAGGAAGTAAACATAACAAATAGGAAGTAAACATGATGACAAACAGGAAGTTAACATGACAACAAACAAGAAGTAAACATGACGACAAACGAAGTAAACATGATGACAAACAGGAAGTAAACATGATGACAAACAGGAAGTCAACAGGAAGTAAACATGACAACAAACAGGAAGTCAACAGGAAGTACACATAACAAAAAGGAAGTAAACATGACAACAAACAGGAAGTAAACAGGAAGTTAACATGACAACAAACAGGAAGTAAACANAACATGACAACAAACAGGAAGTAAACAGGAAGTTAACATGACAACAAACAGGAAGTAAACATGACGACAAACAGGATGTAAACAGTAAATATAAATAAACAGTTCTGTTTGTTTCTACTCTCCTTCATACCGACTGCAGAAGAATCAGAACCAGTCAGAAATGGATCAGAACCATGAAGCTCATTAGAGTTCAGTTTACTCTGAGTTTGTTTGTTTGTTTCAGGAGTCAGCTCAGCGGTCCGGTGATCCCGGTACCAGTCGGGTTCTGATCCCTCCTCCCGGTCTCCCGTCCGTCTCCTCGTTTTTCAGTCCGTTGCTGGGCAACAAGCGGCCGGTCACCAAGCGTCACAGGAAGTTGCTGCTGAAGACTCCGCCCCCCGGAGGCCAGGAGGTTCTGCAGCAGCCGGGGTGGACCCAGAAGTCCCGGCTCCGCCTGCTGAAGCAGGTGTGCTCCAAGCTCCACCCCTTCTCCAGCAGGAGGCAGGTGACCCGCCAGCAGGTGTCCCGGATCTACGTGGAGGACCGGTTCCGTCTGCTGTACTGTGAGGTGCCCAAAGCGGGCTGCTCCAACTGGAAGCGGGTCCTGATGGTTCTGGGCGGCAGCGCCCGCTCCACGCAGGACATCCCGCACGACGTGGTGCACTACTCCAACCGCCTGCGGCGCCTGGAGAGCTACGAGCGGGCCGGGCTGGTCCGGCGCCTCCGGTCCTACACCAAGGTTCTGTTCGTCAGGGAGCCCTTCCAGCGCCTCGTCTCCGCCTTCCGGGACAAGTTCGAGAGTCCCAACCGGTACTACCACCCGGTGTTCGGACGGGCCATCATCTCCAGGTACCGGGCCAACGCCACGAGCGCCGCCCTGAGCAGCGGCGCCGGCGTCACCTTCAGGGAGTTCGTGCGGTACCTGCTGGACGTGCGGCGGCCCGTGGGCCTGGACATCCACTGGGAGCCCGTCAGCCGGCTCTGCAGCCCCTGCCTGCTGCGCTACCACTTCATCGGCAAGTTCGAGAGTCTGGAGGAGGACGCCAACCTGCTGCTGAGCGCCATCAGAGCGCCTGCCAACCTCACCTTCCCCGACTTCAAGGACCGCAACCCGAAGGCGGAGCGGACCTCGTCCAGAATCACACAGAGGTACTTCTCCCAGCTGAACGCCACCGAGAGGCAGCAGCTCTTTGACTTTTACTACCTGGACTACCTGCTGTTCAACTACCCCAAACCCTTCTCAGACCTGCACTGAGCTCCGCCCACTGCGCTGAGCTCTGCCCTATGTACCGAGCCCCGCCCCCTGCATTGAGCTCCGCCCTATGTACTGAGCACTGAGCCCCGCCCTCTGTACCGAGCCCCGCCCCCTGCACTGAGCTCTGCCCTATGTACCGAGCACTGAGCCCTGCACTGAGCCCCGCCCCCTGTACCAAGTTCCGCTCTCTGTACCGAGCCCTGCCCCTGCACCGAGCCCCACCCTCTGCACTGAGCTCCATCCCTGCACCGAGCCCCGCCTCTAGCTGCACCAGAACCAGAACTTTAAACACATCTTAGTTTAATAATTGCTGAGTCAGCGGATCAGGATGTGCCTGCAGGGACCACCAGCTGTTTGAGGTCACCTGTCCTCACCTGGAGCTGGATCCATCTCCTGGTTCTGACTCAGACTGAAGCTGCAGCCACTTCTGTGAAGTTCTGCTGAGCTGACCCGTTCTCAGGTACAATAGCTGGGAGCAAACCGGATCAGAACCGACTCCTGACACTGCCAGCTTTTATATTTAAAGTTTATTTTTTAATAAACAGGTTTTGTTCTGGTCCACATCCTGAAGACCCGGGTCGTCTGTCAGAACCTCCCAAACTTCATGTTGATTTTAATAAAGAGAACTAAAACCTGATCCAGTCTGAACGCTGAGTCATCGTTTTCAGCTGCTGAGACATTTTAGCTTTTAGAACTTTTATACTTTTTATTTTAAATTTTTTTTTGTTTGCAAACATTTTCCCGCAGAAACAGCTGATTTATTTAGTTTCTTCAAAAACGTTGTTCTCGTTCACATCAGCTTCAGCTACTGGCTCTGATTTTATTTTGTATCATGTCAGCTTTTAGTTAGCATTAAGCTACTTAGAGCTTTTAGTTAGCATTAAGCTACTTAGAGCTTTTAGTTAGCATTAAGCTACTTAGAGCTTTTAGTTAGCATTAAGCTACTTAGAGCTTTTAGTTGGCATTGAGCTACTTAGAGTTTTAGTTAGCAATTGTTACTTTTGGCCTTTAGGTGGTTATTTGTAACTTTTGTCAAAAGCATAAATCTAAAACTTCTTGCTATCTTTAGCTTTTAGCTAGCATACAGGTGCCTTTGTCTACTGTAGCTGCTACAACTTTGAGATTTTAGTTGACCTTTTGCTACATTTAGCATCTAGCTAGCATTTACTTTAGCTCACTGTTTTACTGTTTTAGTTTTTACTTAGCATTAGCTACTTAAAGCTTTTAGTTATTAGCAATTGTTACTTTTGGCAAAAATGTAAAACAACTTCTTGCTATCTTTAGCTTTTAGCTAGCATTCAGGTACTTTTGTCTGCTGTAGCTGCTACAACTTTGAACTTTTAGTTGGCCTTTAGTTACTTTTGGCTTTTTGCTACCTTTATCTTCTATCTAGACTTTTAATACTTTTGATTGTGTTACTGTTTTAGCATCTTACAACTTTTAGCTGCTGTTCGACTACTTTGAACTTTTAGTTGGCATTTTTCTGCTTTTGGCCTTTTGCTACATTTAGCATCTATCTAGCATTTCTTTAGATCACTGTTTTACTGTTTTAGCTTTTAGTTAGCCTTTGTAGCTTTTAGTTTGTCTTTTGTTACTTTTAGCTGTTTTAAACCTTTATGTAAGACTAAAACCTTTTGCTGAGCTTTTAGTTTACTTTAAATTTCCTGTGACATGCCTATACTTCAAATACAAAAAGTCAAAGAAAGCATCTTTATACTTAAGAAAACTGGCATAGTACACATGATTTTACCCATTTTGTCACATAACTGGCCTGTTTTCCTTTGAATTTGGCTCATAGTGAAACAGGAAGTGACATCAAAGGGGAACTCAATAAACTCGCTGGTCTCTGTTTATTAGATCAAAATTATTTAAACTTTAACTGTTCTTCGTCTCTTTGATAGCAACTCAAAATAATGTAAAGAAACATCAGATTCTTCTCCACAGTCTCTGTTAGCTTTTGTAGCATCGCTCTGTTTACATGCAGACATTCCCCTTTGACATCACTTCCTGTTTCTTCACGAGCAAATATCTCAACAACCGTTTATCTGAACGAAGTGAAATTTGTTTTGCAATATGTTATCAATGTTATCTTTCAAAAAACACATTCATGTTTATTACAAAAATTTGACGTCCCAGGCCCTTTGAGCTACCATACTTTGAATTTAAAGTGGTTCTTCACTACTTTTAGCTTTTGGCTGTGGTGACGATGATGATCCTCTTCATCAGCTGAATCCATGGAGGGTTTAAAAGTGTGGGATGAAGAAGCTGTTGGTCATGTCAAAGAGGGCGGAGCCAGGTTACCTGGACAGGTGAGGCAGGCAGCATCACTAACTGATCTTAATCTTCATCCTGGTGATGAAGACTCTGAGCAGCACCAGAACTTTCTGTAAACTCGTGGAGGTCAAAAGTCACCAGGATGCTCCAGTGCTTCATGGCACGCGCTCTGCTGCTCGGAGCGGTTCGAGGCGGGGTGAGGGTTCGGTGGTTCTGCAGTGAACTGGGTCAGTGTGCGCGCACCCACTCAGCACGGTCATGGAAATGGCGCGCGTGGCCGCGGGCCATTGGGGTGTCTTGGATGACGATGATGATGATGGAGCTTCGTCTGCTCGAGGACCGGAGTCTGGATCAGGACGAGCTGAGGAACAGCTGCTGCCTCCCCCACCCGGATCAGTCGGGGCGGGACAGATCCCTCCCGACCCCCCGGGGGTCTGAAGAGGCCCGGGGCCACGCTCCTCTTCCAGCCCTGCTGATTTCATTCTGACGGAGACGCGATCTGATCTGGCTGCTTCGGCTTCTCTCACACCGCAGGACCCACAGAACCGAACCGAACTGGGCTGAAGAGCAGCCGGAACCCGGAGCCGCAGACTCCCCATGTCCTCTCAGGTGAGATCCGAGCACGTGCTGCCAGTCTCCAACCTGAAATCTGGTTCTACACGTCGATAGTTAGGCTCGCCACCAGACTCCGTTCAAATAACGTCTTTTTTAATTCTTCTGCGAGCAAAGCTTTAAGTATGATAAAAACTTCAACATGACCTGTGAGCGAACGTATCGACATTTAATTCGGCAAAAATATTAATGTTTTTAAGATAAATAAATCAAAATAAAACAAGTTTTTGTTTCTCGATTCAGTGTCTTGGTCTTCCTAAACGCGTTTCTGATCGGACAACGTTTGGTATTATTTTAGTAGATATTTATTAATAAAAGCCTTTTAAAATCCCATAGTAAATAAAATATGTCAGATTTAAACTAACAGATCAGATGAGTCGTGCTGTCAGTGAGTGGAGCTGCTTAAATCTGCAGTTTTTTTAATGGAGTCTGGAATGAGACGCAGACCGGCGTTACTCTGATCCGGAGGGCACGTGACTCAGAAAATTAGGTTTTCTTTTATTTCTCACTGTTTCAGTAAAATCCTATCGGTTCGGAACAGCCTTTGTTTAAAAAGGTCCCAAGTTGGAGGCGGGGCCAAACTGCCTCCCTCTGCTGTTAGAGTTGGGGCGGGGTTAATCCATAGACCCCCCCACCCAGGACATCAGCCTGGACAACAAACTGTGTGGTGGGGTGATGATGATGTCATTTCTGATGTAAAGCTCCTGCCTGTGTTTACCTTCTACAGGAGGGGCGGAGCCTGTCCAGGATGTCTGTAAGCCACTCACCTGTTTCACCTGTGGGTGCCCAGGGCATCCCGTCCCCCGCTCAGCTCACCAAGGCCAACGCCCCCGTGCACATTGATGTGGGGGGCCACATGTACACCAGCAGCCTGGCCACGCTCACCAAGTTCCCTGAGTCCAGGTGAGGGTCTGTCAGCGGACAGGTGCGCTGTAAAGGTTCTAAACGTGGTTCTGACCAGTTCTTGTGTTTTATTGACCTGTTTGTTAATAATGATCCTGTTTTGCCCCACCTGTCTGTGTGTGCACGTGCAGGATCAGCCGTCTGTTCAACGGTTCTGACCCGATCGTGCTGGACGGTCTGAAGCAGCACTACTTCATCGACCGAGATGGAAACATCTTCCGCTACATCCTGAGCTTCATGAGGACCTGCAGGCTGCTGCTGCCTGAGGACTTCCAGGTACACCTGGTGATGTCACACGATCATCTGATGATGTCATGGTCACCTGGTGATGTCACGCGATCATCTGATGATGTCACGATCACCTGGTGATGTCACACGATCTCCTGGTGATGTCACACGATCACCTGGTGATATGGTGATGTCGCACGTTCACCTGGTGATGTCACACAATCACCTGATGATGTCACACGATCACCTGGTGATGTCACACGATCACCTGGTGATGTCACACGATCACCTGGTGATGTCGCACGATCACCTGGTGATGTCGCACGTTCACCTGATGATGTCACACGATCACTTGGTGATATCACACGATCTCCTGGTGATGTCACACGATCTCCTGGTGATGTCANTCACACGATCTCCTGGTGATGTCACACGATCTCCTGGTGATGTCACACGATCACCTGGTAATATGGTGATGTCGCACATTCACCTGGTGATGTCACACAATCACCTGATGATGTCACACGATCACCTGGTCATGTCACACAATCACCTGATTATGTCACACGATCTCCTGGTGATGTCACGATCACCTGGTGATGTCACACGATCACCTGGTGAGGCTCCAGGTCTGACCTCTGACCCCTCCCCCAGGACTTCCCCCAGCTGTACGAGGAGGCCCGGTTCTACCAGCTGACCCCGATGGTGCGGGAGCTGGAGCGCTGGCAGGCGGAGCGGGAAGCCAGACGAGCGGCGCCGCCCTGCGAGGTTCTGGTGGTCCGGGTCACACCGGACCTGGGCGAGAGGATTGCCGTGAGCGGAGAGAAGGTTCTGATTGAGGAGGTCTTCCCCGAGACTGGAGACGTCATGTGTAACTCTGTGAACGCCGGCTGGAACCTGGACCCGACCCACGTGATCCGCTTCCCGCTCAACGGATACTGCAGACTGAACTCTGTACAGGTGAGACTGTCAGCCAATCAGAAGCCAGCAAGAGGACGCCCCACTTCCTGCTGGTTCTGTTCCGGTCAGGGTTATTATAGTTAACTAAAACTAAATAAATAATGAAACATTATGTAGTTAACTACAATAAATAAAAACTGCAATAAAAGACCATACATTTTTTACTAAACTAAAACTAACTGAAATTATAGACAGAATATCCTTAGTTTTAGTGTTTCAGTTTATTTTAATGGAGTAGTTTCCATCAGCTGTGGTCTGTAACAACACTTGTTTACAGTCTGCTGCTGCTCAGCATCACCTGCTAAATGATGACAAATGTTGGGAGAAAACAACAACGTCCACTTTGGGATTTCTTTGAAAGCATTAAAAATGCAATAATTAATAAAAACTAAACTAAAATTAAGCATTAAAAATGCAATAATTAATAAAAACTAACAAATCCACTGTAAAAACTAATTAAAACTGAATAAAGAAAAAAGTCACAATGAAATAAACCTAAACTATAATGAAAAATCCAAACTTTTATAACCTTGGATCAGGTTAACTCATTGACCTGGCTCTCCATGTGCTCCTGCAGGTCCTGGAGCGTCTCTTTCATAAAGGCTTCAGCATGAAGGCGTCGTGCGGCGGCGGCGTGGACTCCACCCAGTTCAGCGAGTATATCCTGTGCCGCGAGCTGACGCTCAGCAGGTCCAGGAGCAGCAGCCCGATACGGGTCAAACAGGAACCTCTGGACTGAGCTCAGGGACTCACCTGGATCAGGACTCACCTGAGCCGGACCCAAACAGCTGGACTCGACCCGTTTGTGTTTGGTTCAGATAAAGAGAGAAAAATTCAGACAAAAGTTTCTTCTTCTTGGTTTTATTTTGTAGCAAAAAGGTACAAACACGTGTAAAACTGCATCAGGCTGAAAACAGGAAGTAGGAAATATAAATAAATTCAGAACCATCAGAACCGTCCGGCCCGTGGACCAAAGCTCAGTGTTCGGCGTCGGTTCCAGCTAAAGGGGGCGGAGCTAAACCCAAACTAAAAGTTGTTTTAAAGCGTTAAAAACCTTCAGACTCTTGAGGTCCGACTGCGTCTACAGGTTCTACAGCTTCGGTCTTCATCAGAACCGAGGTGATGAAGAGGAGGAGTCACTTCCTGTGAGTCACATGGTGGGAAAAGGTTCAGATTCACATTTAAAGAGTTCAAAACCTTTTTTAAAAATGAGAAAGTTCTGGTTCTGGTCTGATCCGGTCAAATGATCAGATGATTGGTTGATTGTCGGACTCCCAGCAGGAAGTGACACCTGTAGCGCGTCGATCACGATTAACCGTTAAAACCATCGAGGCGTCACGATCCGTCTCCACCCCCACCGCGACCCGACCCGGTTCTGAGAGGACGATCAGAACCAAGTAGAACTCTCTGAACCGCAGCGAGCTGGCGTCCTGAAGGGTCCACTCAGAAGGCACCTGTTCAGGTACAGGAGTCTGCAGGAAAGGGGGCGGGGCACTGATAGCTAATCAGAGCAACTTCCTGTCTGACAGCCAATCAGAGCAGACACACAGACTGGTCCAGTTGTGGTTTATCCTCTGATGAAGCTTTGAGGCGGGTCGAGGTGGGTCCAATCAGAACCGATGGCGTCATCAGTAAAACCAATAAAACCAAAGTTCCTTCTCACGGAGGACTAACGTGGATCAGAACCGTCCCTGAGAGTTCTTGTAGAAAACTTCCTGTGTAAGAATCTGTGGAGGTAAAACGGAGCAGAGTCCAGGTTCTGGTTCAGGTGGTTCTGGTCTGACTCCCAGCAGCAGGGAGGGGTCTGAACCGGACCTGAAGACTCAAGACGTTGTGTAACAGCAGAGCTGAGGGTCCGGCCTGTGGGCGGCGTGTCCAGGTGAGATGCTGCGGTTTAGGAGCATCACCCCGCCCCCTCGCCATGACCGGAGGACTCGGGGGCGGGGCTTATCACTTCAGCAGGGCCTTGTAGAGCGTCAGGGACCGGGTCGTGCTGCGGTCCTGCTCCAGACAGAAGATGAAGTCCCTGAGGTTGACTCGTGTGATCCGCTGCCGGAGCTGCTGCTGCCGGGGGGAGGAGCTCACCGAGGAACCCACACCTGAGCCCGAGGCCACCTGGGAGAGGAGGAGAGGGGGTCAGAGACACCGACACCAGAACCAGAACCGGAGCAGGGTACCAAAATATTCCAGTGATGAACCCTGAGCCTTCAGGTTTGGTAAAGAGTTGTTTTGATGTTTGAACGCCCCCACATCCTCCACCCCCTGTGGTGAGGGGTCAGCCTCAGGAAGAGGAGGGGGTGGGGCATCTCTAAGCCCCTCCCCACTCTGAGTCTGCTGAGCTGAAACCGCCTGGAACAACAGCCCGAGGCCAGCCCTGACCCCTTTTCTCAGTGCTGTTCAGACTGGAGGGGGAGGGCTGTGAGTATCATGTACCTCTGAACTCAGGCTCCACCCATATCAACAGTGGGTGGAGCCACTTCTTTTATTTGAGAAAATAAACATTTTTCTAGGACGTTTAGCTGTAATTAGTGTGTTCAGAGGGGAAGTGGGCGGGGCTTACAGCTCCCACAACACGGACCCTCCTATAAACCGGGTCGTGCTGCACCTGGCCCGAGCCAACTGTGTGACGCCGTACCTCGCCGCCGCCTCCGGACTCCAGTTTGCGTTTCTTGCGTGGCCCGATTGCAGCGAGAGCCGTGAGGTTGGCGTCCCGCTGTCGGATCTCCGCCTGTTCCTGCTGGTGCCGCTGTGGGAGGAGACAGAGAAGACAGACGCAGTGAGGACAGGAAGTCACCTGCAGGACGCCGTGGCTTCAGGTGACACGACCACCTGAAGCTGTCTCAGAAGAAGAGCTCATGAGAACACATTTCAAACATGTGGAAGAATGGGGGCGGAGCTTAAATCTGATTAGATTTAAATCTGTGAAAACAGTTTCATCAACAAACCGGAAGCTGTTTGTTTCTGACGCTGCTGCTGGAAGAAACGAGCATTTCAGAATAAAAGCATAAAACTGAGTGCAGGAAGAAACAAGTGTTTCAAAATAAAAGCATAAAACTGAGTCTGCAGGAAGAAACAAGCGTTTCAAAATAAAAGCATAAATCTGAGTCGTACCTCTTTTGCTTTCTGCTTGAGCCGGATCTGTTCTGGATCCTCCTGCCGGGCCCGGCTCTGGAAGACAAACGTCAGAGTTCAGGTTGTGTCTACAGACCAGGATTAACGGGTCTGCACAGGTGTGCACAGGTGTGCACAGGTGTCTGGTACCTTGGCGGCCTTCAGCAGGATCTCTCGCTCCTGCTCGTCTTTCCTCTGCTTCTCCAGCCGCTCGAGCTGCTCAAAGAATCTGAGCTGAGATCGAACATCAGTCGTCTGCTCGTAGTGCTCTTCATCCTGCCGAGGAAGACCAGGGAACCGTTACAGACCCGGTCCAAAACCTGAGCAGTGAGAATAAATCCTGTGTGGTTGTGGACCCGTGTGTGGTTGTGAACCTGTGTGTGGAGGTGGACCCGTGTGTGGACATGGACCAGTGTGTGGTTGTGGACCCGTGTGTGGTTGTGGACCTGAGTGTGGTTGTGGACCTGTGTGTGGTTGTGAACCTGTGTGTGGAGGTGGACCTGTGTGTGGTTGTGGACAAGTGTGTGGTTGTGGACCCGTGTGTGGACGTGGACCAGTGTGTGGTTGTGGACCCGTGTGTGGTTGTGGACCCGTGTGTGGTTGTGGACCCGTGTGTGGTTGTGGACCCGTGTGTGGTTGTGGACAAGTGTGTGGACGTGGACCCGTGTGTGGACGTGGACCCGTGTGTGGTTGTGGACAAGTGTGTGGCCCAATGTGTGGTTGTGGACCAGTGTGTGGTTGTGGACCAGTGTGTGGTTGTGGACCAGTGTGTGGTTGTGGATCCGTGTGTGGACCAGTTTGTGGTTTTGGACCAGTGTGTGGTTGTGGACCCATGTGTGGTTGTGGACCAGTGTGTGGTTGTGGACCAGTGTGTGGTTGTGGACTCGTGTGTGGTTGTGGACCAGTGTGTGGACCAGTGTGTGGTTGTGGACCAGTGTGTGGACCCGTGTGTGGTTGTGGACCAGTGTGTGGTTGTGGACTCGTGTGTGGTTGTGGACCCGTGTGTGGTGGTGGACCAGTGTGTGGTTGTGGAACCGTGTGTGGACCAGTTTGTGGTTTTGGACCAGTGTGTGGACCAGTGTGTGGTTGTGGACTCGTGTGTGGTTGTGGACCCGTGTGTGGTGGTGGACCAGTGTGTGGTTGTGGAACCGTGTGTGGACCCGGTGGACCCGTGTGTGTTGGTGGACCCGGTGGACTGGTGGACGCGTGTGTGGTAGTGGACCAGTGTGTGGTGGTGGACCTGTGTGTGATTGTGGACCCATGTGTGGACCAGTGTGTGGACCTGTGTGTGGACGTGGACCTGTGTGTGGTGGTGGACCCGGTGGACTTGTTGGACCCATGTGTGTAGGTGGACCCGTGTGTGGACCCGGTGGACCCAGTGGACCCGTGTGTGGAGATGGACCCGTGTGTGGACCCAGTGGACCCGTGTGTGGACCCATGTGTGGAGATGGACCCATGTGTGTAGGTGGACCCATGTGTGGACCCAGTGGACCCGTTGGACCCGCCCCCTCTTGCCTTGCCGCCCTCTGAGCGGTGCTGAGCGATGACTGTGACCTTCTCCAGCAGCGAGCGCAGCCGGGACTCGGTGGCGTGTGAGACCAGGTTCACCACGTCCAGCGGGACCTCCGTCACTCCCTGCTTCTTGGCTGAGGGAGAGAACCGGGTCAGAACCAGGAGGAAACACGGTACCAAGTCATGTTTTTATGGAAACAGCCTGCAGGTGGTTCTGCAGGACCGACTGACCCGTGTCCAGGATGCGCCGGTGCAGGAGGCCCGGGGGCAGGAAGGACTCGTCTTTGCAGGATCGGATCTTGGTGCCGACCAGCTCCGAGCTGGTTGCTAGGATACGAGCGTTTTCCTCGCTCAGGTTGACGCCGGCCATCGACGCCACGTCGTTGATGTCATCATCGTCCCTGTGGGCCAGGAGGACCGTCAGTCTGACCTGGGACCTGAGCCAGGACCTGACCAGAGACCGGTTCAGACCTGAGACCTGGGTCAGACCTGAGACTGGGTCAGACCTGAGACTGGGTCAGACCTGAGACCTGGGTCAGACCAGAGACCTGGGTCAGACCTGAGACCAGCTCAGACCTGAGACCAGCTCAGACCAGAGACCTGGGTCAGACCAGGGACCTGGGTCAGACCTGAGACCAGCTCAGACCAGAGACCTGGGTCAGACCTGAGACCAGCTCAGACCTGAGACCTGGGTCAGACCTGAGACCAGCTCAGACCAGAGACCTGGGTCAGACCTGAGACCAGCTCAGACCTGAGACCTGGGTCAGACCTGAGACCAGCTCAGACCAGAGACCTGGGTCAGACCTGAGACCAGCTCAGACCTGAGACCTGGGTCAGACCTGAGACCAGCTCAGACCAGAGACCTGGGTCAGACCTGAGACCAGCTCAGACCTGAGACCTGGGTCAGACCTGAGACCAGCTCAGACCAGAGACCTGGGTCAGACCTGAGACCAGCTCAGACCTGAGACCTGGGTCAGACCTGAGACCAGCTCAGACCAGAGACCTGGGTCAGACCTGAGACCAGCTCAGACCTGAGACCTGGGTCAGACCTGAGACCAGCTCAGACCAGAGACCTGGGTCAGACCTGAGACCAGCTCAGACCTGAGACCTGGGTCAGACCTGAGACCAGCTCAGACCAGAGACCTGGGTCAGACCTGAGACCAGCTCAGACC